ATGCTTTTTCTTTATGAAAAGCAGAAAGTGAACATGTCAACTCTTATAGGAAAACAGGGCAATTAAGGCTTGGAGAAGAATGCAAACAGTGCAGTCCTGGAACTTCCTAAAATGTCAAATAAACCTCTTTTCCCATAAACTTATCAGCCTGTCACATTGAGATTCAATGCCTAATAAATTAGTTATAATCCAACATCCCAAAAATTATTCTGAAATATGAAGTTTTTCCAGTTAGACAAAATAAGTATGTTTGCTGTCATTGATAGACAGTGAATAGTAATCCTTTACATGTCTAATGAAAAGTAGGACTGTGTCAGGGATGTCTTGGGGGGTGGGGGTGGTATTAGTATACATACTTACAGGGGAGTAACCTCTATTGGACACAGTGGTCATATAACTATTTACTTAGAATTCTGTTGTATGCTTGATGCCTTTTAGGCTTGATCTACACTGCTCTATATCCCAGGATCTGATCCCAGATTATCTGCTTATCCCACATTATTTGACAGTGTAGACTCATATGATCCACTTGTTCAGCAATCTCATTTTGTCTTTGTAATATGAAAATCATAGTTTCTGCCTCACTTTGGCACATTGCCATGCCCTCCCATCTGCTGTATTGAAAGTTAATTACCAGAAGAGTCCCTACTCTGAGAGACTGTGCCCCTGTGACTCCGGACACATAGAGACAACGAAACGTGCTTTTTCAGTGACTGTTCTATAGAGATATTCAATCTCATCTCATTACCCCATGGCTATACAAACACCCAGGATGCTCTGGACAATTTTACATCTCCCTGCTGCTTTCAGACACTAACTTGGCTATAACTTATAATGTCGCCAAGTTCTGCATGGCAGCAGTTAAAATCCAATGGTCGATGGCTGATAGCATAAGCTAGTACAAGCCAGGACTTCAGACTAGCAGAAAATAGGGGTTACATTCTTTCTATTATAGTATGGATGTTGCTTCCTCCTCTGACTGGACTTCCCTTTCCTGTGCCACATGAGTACACCTGTTCCCTCCCTTTAGATTCCCTTCCCTTTAATACCATAAATGGTGTTGAGTTTTAATATAATCCTGTATATGGCTATTATCTTAGGGCCCTTCCACACAGCCCTATATCCCAGAATATCAAGGCAGAATATTCCACAATATCTGCTTTGAACTTGGTTATCTGAGGGCCCTTCCCCACMKCCCTGYATCCCAGAATATCAAGGCAGAAAATCCCACATTATCTGGGTGTGGACTCATATAACCCARTTCAAAGCAGATATTATGGGATTTTCTGCCTTGATATTCTGGGATATAGGGCTGTGTGGAAGGGCCCTGAGTCCACACTCAGATAATGTGGGATTTTCTGCCTTGATATTTTGGAAGGGCCCTTAGATTCTTAAGTTAATTATATTAATGTCCTAACAACTATACACTTATTTTAAAGTTTTAAATCTCTTAACCCTTAACTCTGATATGTTGTACGGGATTATGTCCCTCTTCTCTCGAACTGGTCATTGGCCGTAATCAAGTGAACTTGAACTTGACCCATATGATCCAGTTCAAAGCAGGTAATCTGGGATCAGATCCTGGGATATAGGGCAGTGTAGAAGGGGCCTTAAAAATACTATATCAACATTACTTTAGAGTCCTCGGGTATAGGGCAAATGTTATTTCATATATCTGAAACATTGCAAACACCTATAAACCTTGAATAACTGAACAGACTCCAATATCGCCTTGTTCACACGTCAAAATGTGTTGGTGTCCCTGGAGAATTATGATGAACTGCAGGTTGATAATTTCTGCTGTAAACAAACCATTCACTTTCCAGTGATGATCCCTGAACCTGGCAAGACTTGCCAATCAGATTCTCTCACAGGAAGCTATTATTTCCCTGAAGTGTCCAAGGAGGGACCAGTCAAAAGTGCTGGGTCCTGCTGAGTACAGACATCGTGAGAAACAAACATGGAAGGTCCGTGGTTTATTTAGCTAATGCCACTTGCAGTGACAACAATAACAGAGAACAGGCTTGAACTAGCAGTCCACCGATAAAGAGGGAGAAGGAAAGAGAAAACAGTATGAACTTCTTATGGGGAAAAAAAAAATTAATTAGCTTTCTACTTCTGATCCACTGCTGCTTCTCCTTCATTTGTCTCCTTTTCAAGAGTGTTAATTTAGCTCTCAACATCAGGCCAAATCATACACTTTTAGAGTGGATAGATTCAAGAAATGTACTGAAGTGCTGCTGACAGCAGAATGCGTCAATCCTTTACCAAATTCAAGTCTCAAGGACTTGCATTTGGAAATGCTATTCCACACATAACTAAACATACAGACAACAGTGTCGCTTTCTACAGTTATTTCAGAATTAAATTTTAATACATATGGTGTGACCTGTGGAACCTTTTCTTGGGCTGATTATGACAGAACCAGGAAAGGTCCCATCCCAAAGAACAATAAATGGTCCTAGAAAATACCCCCCTCAGTATTTTTTTTATCTCAAAAGATAATTATCAGCATCGAGGGGGGGGGGGGGGAAGATATATATTAACTGGTTTTCTCCATCAAAACTATTAAATGAAATTGAGTTTCCCTGGCTAAATGTTAAATTTACTGCCAAATATGCAGAGGACAAATACTGATCTATCCACATTGTCAGATAGAAAGGTTTTCAAAGGAATGGAGCAGAAAGCTCCTTAAAGATTATCTCAGGCCCCATCTACACTGACACATAACCCAGATTATCAAAGTAGATAATCCACATTATCTGCTTTGAACTGGATTATTTAAGTCCCTCAGCCGGTCTGAGTCCCTCTACGAAGGTAGAGAAGATCAGGATATAAAATTTTTAAATAAATACATATATAAATATATAAATAATTTGAGTCTTTATTGCCATATAATCCTGCTCAAAGCAGATATTCTGGATTTTATATGGCAGTTTAGAAGGGACCTCACAGAGAAACCTGGAACAAATGGTGCATCTACATTGTAGAATACATGTAGCTTGGCCGCCCTCTAATTGCCATTGCTCAATGCTATGGAATCATGGGTAATTTGGTGAGGCATCAACACTCTTTGACCAAGAAAAATTACAGTTACATATAAAACTACAGATCCCAGAATTCCATAGCATTGACTCATGACTCATTGCGCAGAACGGTTTTCCTTCATTTCATTCATTCTTTCGGGAGCACATAATAGGAAGGCCCCTCCTGGTACGAAAATCAGTTTGACACGAAAGCAAGTGGGAGCCGATCCTGGCTCCTCACCTGCTTTTCATGATCACGTGGTGCTCCATGCCTCCTTGCCTTGGAAAATGAGTGCATAAGTGTGTGTTGCGTGCAGGCTCAGAAAGCACGTGACATATGCCTGCCTGCAGCCAAGATTCTCCTCTAGAGTAACAATGAGAACTTGCTTCCTTGCCTTTTAAAGAGAGTGCGTGCATGTGTGGCATGCAGGTTCAAAAAGCGTCCATGCCTGCCAGCAGCCAAGCACCTCTCCTCTAGAGTAGAAACAGGTAAGAAGCCTCCTTAAAGAGCATGCCTGCCTGCAGCTGAGCACCTCTCCTCTAGAGTAAAACAGCTTCAATGCCTAAAATGATGGGAAGGGGAGCCTGGGAAGCCATCCCCTCCTATAATGGGCTGATAGAAAATGGAACTTTCAGTACCTCAAAGTGAGAATAGATATCTGTCCTCTCTATTTTTGGGAGGCTCCCAAAAATGATTGGGGCCCCCATTGGAAGCCAGGACACAAAACGGGTCAAGACTTACCCTGAAAGCACAACCCTAGTCATGATACTTAAACTGTATTAATTCTACAGTGTAGATGCCTCCACAGTTGGTCCCACAGTGATGCATTTCCCCTCTCTGACACACTGGAAATGCATTTAATAGATGCAAACAGTCAGTCTGGGAATATTTATGAGAAAGTAGTGCTTCTGAGCTATTAGATGTCAATGCAATTCCTTTATTTCAAGCTCATTTGCCTTGCAAGTTGATTAAACTGCTCTAATATCCGAATCAAAATGGCAAATAATATAATAAAAAGAACCAATTAGCTCATGATTGGTATGAAGGTAGGCAGCGTAGGCAGTGTCAGTTTTAGCAGTGAATTGTGTTACAGGAAAAATGACTAACAGGAGGATGTTACTATGTCACAATAACAAAGAATGATTGCCTGTGCAAAATCTTTTAAAAACATTTCATTAGTACAAAAGAAGACATTGTAATATTTTTTAGTACTGGCTGAGACAGTTTAAATATTATTTGATGGATGGGTTGCAAATATATAAAAATTATTTCAACCCGAAAACCTTATATTGATTGGTCCGGGGGCGAGGCGTGCCTGCTCCAGACTATCATAATCACAGGTAACTGAGGCCATGTCTACATGGCCAAAATAAAGAGCACTCACTACTCAACTGCTGTAGGGAGTCTTGTGATATTCTCTCAGATTGCATTGAAGCAGCCCCAGGCATTTCTCATATCCCAGATATGATCATTTGAACTATACGTATCAATTTGTGATGCTTTTGGTAACCCATTATTCTTACAGTCAAGCAACAGGAAGCATACAAACATACAATTTCAGTTATTCCCTTTCCTTCTTGCTTTTCCTCTCTATTACTCATAAATCCTCTTATTTTGTATGTTCTTAAAATAAAGCAGTTTAACATTTATTTTAAGCTATGGTAGTGTTCAAGGTGCCTTGCGCATCAGTTCCACTCTGTATACGTATGAATAAAAAATATATATCTTACAATGAATGTTTGAAAGATGAGTATGTTGGCATATGCTGATTCAATAACCACATCCCCTAAAGAGTTGTTCACTTTTAAATATTTCATTTCTTACTGTTAGCATTATTTTATTTCATTTCAATTAAACTAGGCTTCTTTATAATTCAGTTGAAAGGAGAGAGTGAGAGAGACAGAAAGAGAGAGACTGTTGGGTCAAATAACATTATCAGTCAATACTGAATGAGATAAAAGTTCTTAACCTACTAGAAGGAGAAGCGCAGGCGGGCGTTGAAGTCTGAGGGTGTCCCCAGCCTTTCATGTTATACGCGTAAACTCTGACATAATAGCTTTGACCCTGGAATTTTTAAAAGGGGGGAGAGAGAAGAAGACAAGAAAGAAAACATCAGGTTATGAGCATGTTCTATGTGAATGCTCCAAAGTCACATGGTAATGACATGAACTTAATGAGCCCAAGTATCTTTCTTTCAACTTGCTTATATTAGGGTTCCATCATCTTCTCACAATTTCTGACAATTGCTTTGAAACCAACATCACCAATGCCATCGAACCAAGTTTGGATGGTGTCATTGTCGTATGAACATTTGTGAAGATCCCAGATGCACTGCCCTAACACTGTGAAGATCATAGAGTCATGGAACTGGAAGAGACCACAAGGGCCATTCATTCCAACCTCAGGTTGTGACAGTCACCAAAGGTCATAGCCAGGATAATAAAATATGGGCAAGGATTGTGAAGAAAAATGAAAGAAGGGAGAGAGGGAAGGAGGAAGATGACAGGAAAAGACTGACCCTCTCCTTCTTGTCAATAATGTGGACACTCCATTCTAACATCAGCCAGGCACTTGGATTGGGGCTTATGGCCAGCACAGTGCAATGGCATTGGAAGCAGTTTGGCAGAAATCAATTTTACTGTACGGATGACTGCACTGACATATTTGGAACAGGATTTAGGTTCTGAGGCTGACCTCAAGCCATGGGCTGATTTAAGACTTTATCGCATTGTATTTTACCTTGTTTCTAAGACTCTTTGAACACATCCTGAATGGATCCTATCACATGATGTTTGTGCCATTCCATCAGTAATACATTTGAATCTTAAAACATTGCAGAAATAGAGTGCTGTAATTGCACACAGGATTCTGATTGTGTGTGTGTTTTTTTTGTTTAATATGGTTCTGAGTCACTGTTTTTACATGTAATTGTAAAATCAGGATACATTCAATCAGCTAAAATCTTGTGAGAATAGTAGTTTGAGACTTCCAGGCTATATCACTGCGCAATATGAGAAAAAAAAATTAAAGTGGTGTAGGAAGGCATTTGAATTGTTTGGGGGGGAGCCAGCCTTCAATAGTGTGATATTCTTGTGTTTAGTATTTGGGGTCAATTTGCCCCATAACCCTCAGGGTTGCTCTCCGATGTTTCCTCCTGGGAAAGATTTAACATCGAATAACTTTGAATGTGCTTTTAATTGTTATGGATTAATGTTTTGAAATGGCTTCTGTGTAATGAGGTTTATTTTTTGTATATTTGT